TAGGGATACTAGCAATAATGGAATCCTACTACATACGGCTATTTCTCCAGACTTGGGCCCATTTTTGCGTGCTTTGTGCTTTCTGTTTGCGGGGATCCCCAGAAGACCCGACTTTAGAGAGAACCTACGAAGGAGGGGAACAGGATCTGTGTCTGAAGATTGGGGCGTTTGGGGTGTACCTGGACTCTATAAAACCTTCCTTGTTGTGGCTCCCTATTATGATTTCCTTATATGGGAGTTTCCGAAAATAGGGGACCCTCATGTAGCATCCTGAATAGTAGGATCCCTATAGAAATGACCCCAAAATCAGGTACCCCCTAAATGTCGGAAACTCTCATAGAGGTCTTAACGAAGAAGGTTCGTTAGGGTCCAGGTACGGCCTGAAACTTTAGGGGGCCTTGGCGGGTACTTGACACCCCCGTAGCTCAGGGTGTAGGGTTCTTAGGGCTTCCAGGGTTTGGGCTTCTCTCAAACCTCTTCGGAGCTACGAGAGCCCGGCCGAAAATAATACGAAAAAAGGCCAAAGACGGCAAGCAGGCTGATAAAGGTAGATTAAGAAATCTTGAGCCTTGATTCGGGCTCTTCGTATGGATCCTTCCATTTCGGTGTTATAGAGCCAGGGTTTCTTAATCAGGTTCCTACATTAGCCAAGTGTCCTGCAACCAAACCTCACCCTAAACCCCAAGCTCTCAAAACCCTTCTTGACCCTGAGTAACCTACACTTCTAGGGTTCCTTATTATGGTTTCCTTATGAAAGTCCTTAAAAAAAAAGGCTATTCCGGGTCAAGGCAAGCCCTAAACCCGGCCCTACACTACCGGCCCGAGTCGTCCTTCTGCAAAGCCCTGAACTCTGCACCGACCCATGCCGAAACCCGAAACCAAAAACCGCCTTAAACCATAAACCCCCAAAAAACCCTACACTCAAAAATGCTTTAAACCCCAATTAAGCGAACAGAAACGCCTTAAACCCTTAACCAAAAACAGACAGTTAAGCCCTAAACCCAAAAAGAAGCTCCTAAAAGGGGTTTAGGGTTTAGGGTTTGCCCCCCTCCGAAGCCCCCGAGCTCCTAACCCTCCGCAGCAAGAAAGCCCCGCAGAGTAACGCTGAAAGTAGCCCCTTGCAGTCACCTGTTTAACATGCCGGGGTTTCGACTTTGTTGGGTTTGTAGCTTAGTTGGGCGGTAACCTGTTTAAGAAGCCGGGTTTAGAGTTTTGGGTTTCGGGTTTGTAGCTTTGTGATAGTTGGGTAGCTTTTTGCATTTTTATGGGCACTTAGACCAGTAAGGAATGAACATGTCGATTTTTAATACTATCCCAACCATGAAATAGCTACGGTAACCTGTTTAAAAAGCCGAAGAGTAACCCGTAATTTAGATGAACCCTTATGTCGACTGTTATCGATGCCCTAATAGTGAATGGGAGTTTCCGAAAATTAGGCGTACCTTTGTTCGGGGTCCTTATAATAAGGATCCTACTTTTTCGGGCACTATATTAGGGTCCCCTATTTTCGGAAACTCCCAAATAGTAACGCTTATGTCCAGTGGTCAAGGTCCCTCCAGTTGTGGATTGGCTTGCCACGGGCTCAGCCTTCCTCATAGTATGGATGGCCATTTCATGCGGGGCCGTTTGATATAGGGGTCCTATACTCAGGAACCCTTTAGTTCGGGGTCCTGATGTCTCTGGGTCCTTGTAAAGAGGAGAGTTTCTTCAGGGCACTTTTAACAAGAACCCTCTCTCTGCCGGGCCCTTATGAGAAGGCTTTTTTGGGGCGTCCTTAGAATAAGGATGCTATTATCGAGGGGTCTGCAGTAAGGCCCCCCGGTTTTGTGAAACTCCCAAGTGACCAAGTGGCTTCAGGCATACAAGTGCCTTTCGAAAGCGACGCAGACCTTGGGCATAGGGTGCAGGGTTTAGAGCTTGAGGCCTGTTCGGGTTTGTAAGAGCCAGAGTTTTGTTGGTGTCAGGTTTGTTCTGCGTTTACGGACTTTGGGTTTACCGGTATTTGTGAAAGCCCAATCGGTTTGAATTGAGCTCGCTCAAAAGTACCTGTAGTCTCCATTGTAGTTCTTTTTTGGGGTTACCTTATAGGATCCTTATTATATATTTGGCTATACCAAAAAAAGGAACTACAATGGAGACTATAGGTAACTCGTTGTTTTACCACTCGGTAGCACCTAATCACTGGGGACTATGAGCCCCTTGTGGATCAACTCCTTGCGTTTGTTCTGGCTTTCTTGAGTGCAAAATCAAGGATCTTTTGAACGTATTTTGTTCATTCTGGTTCCAAGCCACAGTGAGAGTTCTGTAGCGATCTGATTAGTGTTGTTGATGGTGGCGATGACCATGGCGATGATGATTACGATGTGTAGGGTGATGAACAGTACAAGAGATGATCATCCTTGCTTTCATCATTGCTACTATGGCTGCTGTCACCAAATCCTATAAACACCCAAGTTAGTAGGGGTAGTGCTAGGATGTTTCCCACTATGATGGCGATGGTAATCATGATGGCCATGTGCGTTCTTAGATTACTAGTTAGACATAGTGTTTAGAGTAGCATGTTGTCGTAGATGTCCAAGCAGCAGGAGGAGGAGTAGACCCTAAACCACTAAACCGTAAACCCTTAAACCCTAAACCCCTAAACCCCTAAAACTTAAACCCTAAGTAGCAGTGCTTGCGCCTCTGCTGGTGTCACACGAAAGGCGCCTTGGTCTCGTCGGCTTCATTATGAGCGTCTTCAACCAACTCCAGCCGGTCTCCTGCCTTCCCTAGTTCGGACCACCCATACTGCTACTAAGAATAAAAGTTGGCAATATATTGTGCTGTTGTTATGAACGGTTTGCGTTTGTTTTTGTGTGGCTTCCGGGGTTGAGATCTACGGGCTCTGGAAAGTTCGTTCTCGTAGGGCTTCGGTGGCAGATTTCATTCATAGCTTAGAGCGCCGCTTGCAAAGCTTCCCACATTTTTTGTTGTTTGTCGGTACTGGAGTAAGTACGAGAGAGGGACCTGGCCCGAAATAACCAGCGCTAGTCCTCCGGGCTCCTCAGTTATATTGAAAGTTGACCCCAAAACCCTAATGAGGTTCTTGAGGCCCCCACATTAAGCAGACATCTGGGATTCAGAAAGTCATGGACCCCGAACATAGGCGCTAATTTTTAATCCGCGGACGTCCCTACTTGTATGAAGTGCCCACATCTCCCTAGATCCTAACTGTGAACATTGAACTCTGAACCCACCCCTGAACCCAAAACCCCAAAACCCCTAAACCCAGAAGCCATGAGCCATGAGATTCTGATGTACTACGGCGTGCTTGCACACCGTAGTGCCGCGCTCGTCGGCTTCAGCATCAGCTACTCGCAAGAGGCCGGTTGATGGAGCTGGATTGAAATGCTTGGAAGCTGTAGGCGTTTATCATTTGACCAGGATGTTCACGTGTGCATGAGGTTCGTGATTTTAGGCCTTATGAGTTCTAAGGGTTGTAGTAGGGTGTAAGGGATGCTTTTTACGGGTTAAGGGTTGTGCACTTAGCATTTGGGGATTCTGCGGGTTTAGGATTTATGGGGCTGAGATTTTGGGGGCTTGAGGGTTTCGGGTTCAGGGTTCGCGATTTAACGCTAGGCAGCTACAGCTTACAGTGGACTTAACTGAACTCCCATTGCATCTACGTTTCCAAGCCACAAACCCTCATACTCCAACCCGAAATGAGTTCTGTTTATCAGACGCACAGAGCCAACAGTCCATCAGACATCTTCAATGACCCACAAGCCCTTCTTGCAGGATTAGTATGTTGAGTTAGCAGCTTTTAGGTAGGATATCAAAATCGGCAAACCTGAGTTTCTAGGGGGCCTTAAGGCCTATTTACGGAAGTATAGTCCCCTAACCCCCTCCCGCTACCCCCCTAAGGGTCCCTATGATGAGACCTTTCCAGGGTTCCGTCGCAAAATATCGTAAGTTCTTTGGTTTAGTATGTTTGGGTTAGGGGAAGGCCTTGTGGGCAAAGCCTCGAAAGTTGTCAGTTGATACGGGGGGGGTTCTGAAAGAATCGGGGTGCCTTATTCGGAGGCTTTTACAACAAGAGTTCTGTGTCAGGGTCCCTCATTTCGTAGAGCTCCTGCTTATGGAAAGACTGCAGACAGAGGCCCTGGCTCCCATCGAACTTATGGTTCCATGATTCATCAAGATCTTGATTCGAGCTGGTGTAGTTGCTGCTGTCTCAGGGTCAGCTCAGAAGGTCCCCACAGCTGGCCCGCTTGCTAGTGCTTGTGAGGATGTGAAACGTTTCGTGCCAGGACCAACCCCCCTCACCAGTCGAACTTCTAAACCTTAAGCCACAAACCCTAAGCTAGATGCAAAATGACGGGCATGCCAAGAACTGAAAAGCCGTACCCCTGATAAGCACGTCCTGCAGTGTTCAACACTTCTTTCTGTAAGCCCCGGTTTCTTTAATGGGAATGACTCCTGTCTGAGACTTCTGCGAGCTCCGAAAACGTCAGTAATTAGGATGCGATTCTGGAGGTCCAACTCCCCTGAGCCTGCGACCCAACCCAAGTACTAAACCTGATTTCGCATTTCTTTTTGCAGTACCTTCGTTGGGGGCAAGGGATCTTGAAATAGCAGAGGGTTGTGATAACAAAAACTCAAGTGTCCCTAAGGCTCCATGAGCCCATATAGTATATACTTAGTCCTTAAAGTACCTGTATAGGGACCCCTTGAAGGCTTAAGTATCTACTATAGGGGTACATGGAGCCTTTGGGTGTTGTATGACTCTGTTCTAGCCATGTCGGAGTTTAGATGGAAATCCGATCACAGATTCTCAAGTCACCACAGTCATTGGTTTCTGTCTTGTCGTTCCGGGTTTGGGCTCTTTCTGACTCTGTCGTCCGAATTTCGGAGTTTCTGACTTTGGAGAAATTGAAATTCGGAGCTGCTGACAGGTTTCTGCCATCGTCAGTCAGTTTGTCATGAACTTCTCGGACATGGAAATGCAGCTGGCCGCTCGCTTTTAAGCTCTTGTGCTACGGTGGTCATGAGCATTTAACTGATCGTGCAATGGTGTGCTATGCTTCGCATTGCTTTCCGGAGCTTGCCAGCGGAGGGCTTATAGTTTTATTTAAGGGGGCTTGGGTTGTAGTATTGAAGGTTTGAGTGTTCCACAGACTGCTGGTAAGCATGATTATCATTGCTGCTAATAATGCTGTTGCTGCCTCTACTACTACTACTACTACTACTACTACTACCACTATTACTACTACCACTATTACTACTACTACTACTACTACTACTGCTACTACTACGACTACTACTACCACTACTACTACTACTACTACTACTGCTACTGCTACTGCTATTGCTACTGCTACTGCTACTGCTACCACTACCACTACCACTACCACTACCACTACCACTACCACTACCACTACCACTACCACTACCACTACCACTACCACTATCTACTACTACTACTACCACTACCACTACCACTACCACTACCACTACCACTACCACTACCACTACCACTACCACTACCACTACCACTGCTACTGCTACTACTACTACTACTACTACAACTACTACTACTGCTACTACTACTACTTCTACTACTACTACTACCACCACTACGATGGCTATGACTGTGACTATGACGATGACACTGACTGCGACTATGGCGACTGATTGTGCGGCTATATGACGATGCCTACCACTCCTCCTGCTCCTCTACCACTACTACCACTACGACGACGACTACGCCTACCTTTCTGCTGCTGCTAGAATCAGTACTCGAGCTACTTCTATTTCTAATCCTGTTCACTAACGCTGCTACTGCAACGCCAACTATTCCTACTTGCTGTTGCTGTCAATATTGCTCTTGCTGCGGTTAGTGCTACCATCGCGATTGCGGCTACAGGTTCCAGTATCATTGCAGACGCATGCACAAGTACTAGTACTGTACCGTTGCTGTTGCTATTGCACTGGTCATTGCCAGTGCTGTTGTTCTTCTTCTGTCAGTTTCCTTGCTGTGAAACTATGTGAAGCCCCACGACCATTTTCTTCGGCGACCCGCACAAACTTCAAGAACTCCACTCTCCCGGTGCACGGCCGCAGACTCTTGCGCGAGCAGATCCGCAAGACACTCAACGCTTGATAGGCCCTGAACTCTCTATCAGCAAGGCCCATTGCTTACGTGCCCAGGGCCGAACCTGTCCCTTCCGAACGAAGCCCTCGACCACCACTAAGAACAGCAGAAGCACAAGCCACCACTGCAACAACTGCAAGCAAGAACAACCAAACCACCACAAACGCGACAACAACCACAGGAATAAAATCACGACGACGACCACGACAGAGACCGCAACCACGAGCACCACGCCGACCGAGACGACACCGAATATGCATCGAATATGACATCAATTCCTACTACAGGTGCTTTGGAGCATAGCTGCCTGCTAGTCAACATCAGCAACTTGGAGACTATGGTTAGCGTCATTGGAGCAGTTCGTACATCACTACAGTTGTTTTCCTGCTCCTCGTGCTAGCAGCAGTACTAGCAGTGGCCACTTCCGTACTGCGAATACTGAGAGTTGTACCAATCAAAAGTGGGCATGGCAGTAACTCTAGACCCCTCGAAACGGCAAGTCTATGAAGCTCGACAGACCCGGAAATCCCGACACCTGTAAACATGCAGAAATGCAGATGCTCTATATATATAATATATATATATACATATACACCTTGGCACTAGGTCTCCATCGAGCGACTCTGTGAATACGCGAAGCCCCAGAACGACTCTCCCGCGGCCAATGCCGTTGCAGGTACTTTTGTCCGCAGTGTTGGGGATTGGGTTTCGGTTCTGGGGCTTTGGTTCGATCCCAAGTACAAGTTCGAAGGCTTAAGGTTGAAGTTTCGGACTTATATAGGTTTGATGTTAAATCGAGGTTTGGATTCCTTTCGGGGTCGCGATTTTGTAAAGCCTTTGTTGGCATTCTCTTGACTTGTCCGGGCTCGGAATCAAAGCGGCAAGTTAAAACGAGCTTGATTATGCACGGTAGTGATAATGATAACAAAGGTGAGCAACGATCGTTGTGAGAATGCTAACACTAGCGCCAAGACTGAACTATGATGTTAAGACCAAGACCCCGCAATTCAAAGCCAGGCAGCCTATCAGCCCTAAACCTTATAAAGTCTAGTGACAGCAGCAACAAGCTAAACAGCAAGCGCCAAGGCAACACACTGGTCCCCCGAGCTGGGAACGGTGGGCTCGAGCTCCGCCATTGGTCAGCAGAGCTGTAGAGAGGGGGCTTTGGGGTTGATGGGGGTTTCAGGGGTTTCTGGAGGCCTGTGAGGTAATCTAGGTCGGCTCACAGTGCATGAGGCTGTGGCTCAACGGTTTTACGACGGGGTTCTCAATAGTCAGCACGAGCAAGCAGTCCTTAGCCTTCCGGATTCTGCGTGATATTTGGGGCAGTCTAAAGGAGCTGCAGGCTGTTGCGCAGCGTAGTCTTCTACTTTACCTGCCGTAAGAGAGTTGGCAGCTGTAGAGGTGAGGGGTCGCAGCAAGAACGCCTTCGGATCTTAAAGTCTGGTAGGTTTTGCGAGGCCCGGCCCTAAACCTTATTCCCAAAAACCCTAAACCCCGAAACCCCTGAACCCTAAACCTCTAAACCCTATACCCTAAACCCTCAACCCCGAAACAGCTCCAAGGCGACGTCGTGGTGAAGTACCAGTCGGCCCTTTCTCCGGCGCTTGCAGGGGACACTTCTCGGCAAGTTGAACGAAAGAACCCACGACTTCGGGGTTTGATATAGGGGCCTTGGCAATTACCTATGCTATGTTGGGGGTTCCTTATTATAATTGTTGAGGCCCATGTATTAGGGTTTACGGGTTCCGAAGTTTTGGGGTTTTGGGTCTCTTTCGTCGTGAGGGCCCACGTGCTTGGGTGTTGTTGGATGTGGCACAAAGAAAGGTCTACTGCAACAGCAAGTTGCCTAGACCCTAACTAAACACAACCCTGAGCCCCGAAGTGACACCCTACCAGTGATCCTGAACTCCAGCCCATCAAACACGCTCAGGTGACACTGCACTTTCCCGCCGGCGAGACAGTTGCGGTGGTGGGTCGAACAGGAGCAGGGACGCTTGGAAGAACAAGAAGAAGGAGTTGTAGCAATGGTGGTTCGTAGTAGTATGGTCGCGGTGGCGTGGTTGTGGAAGTGGTAGTAGTGGTAGTGGTAGCGGTAGTGGTAGTCGTAGTAGTAGTAGTAGTAGTAGTAGTAGTAGTAGTAGTAGTAGTAGTAGCAGTAGTAGCAGCAGCAGCAGCAGTAGTAGTAGTCGTAGTAGTAGTAGTAGTAGTAGTAGTAGTAGTAGTAGTAGTAGTAGTAGTAGTAGTGGTAGTACTAGTAGCAGCAGCAGCAGTAGTCATAGTAGTAGGAGAGGAGTGGTGGTGGTAGTAGTAGTAGTAGTAGTAGTAGTCGTAGTCGTAGTCGTAGTCGTAGTCGTAGTCGTAGTCGTAGTCGTCGTCGTCGTAGTAGTAGTAGTAGTAGGAGCAGCAGCAGCAGCAGCAGCAGTAGTAGTAGTAGTAGTAGCAGCAGCAGCAGTCGCAGTAGCAGTAGCTATAGCTGTAGAAGCAGCAGTAGCTGTAGCTTTAGCTGTAGCTGTAGCAGTAGCACTAGCAATAGCAGTCGTCGTCGATGCCGAGCTAGATTTGTCACCTCGTCTTTAGTATCGTTAAGCGTGAGGCAGGGCCCACCAAAACTCGAACCCATGGCTTTTTCTCTTAAGGCCTTTGGGGGCACAGCTTGGAGTGATTCGTGCGACGCACGAGAGAAGTGCATGAAAAGCTGATGCGCAGCCGTCGCATATGGAGGGTATGCTGGATGCCTCAACCCTAAACTCGAAGCCCTAAGCCCCCAAGCCCCCTGAAACCTTCAATCTCCAAGGAAGTCTTCTTTGCTGCTGGCCGTCCTGCAGCCCCTCAGTTGCAATGCTGACCGAGTGAGGCTCCTCAGGCTTGTCGAGGCACCCCAAGCAAGTTCACTCGTAGAGCAGAGACTCCACCTGGTCGACCGCGAAAGCACCCACCCTCTCCATGCAAAACTCGAATCCTACACTCGCACACCCTCGGCCCCGAATTCCCACACTCCGAAATTCGAAACCCCAAAGCTCTTCCCCCCCTATCCTCCTCAACCCCCAACCTCTAAGAAGCCAAAAACTCCCATATAAATCTCATGCCGAAACCCCAAGACAAAACCCAAGAAAGCTCCTGTAATCCAAACCCTAAGCCCTAAATCCTAAACTCCCTTAGTTCTCCAATACCCAACCTTTAAACTTTTTGGGTTCATAGATTTTAGTAGTAACCTGAAAGGTTAACCTTCCATTTCCTTGCCTTGTTGGGGAAGTAAACTCCCAGAAAGCTCCTGTAATCCGAGGCTGGCCCCTTACACGGGTGACATCTGCGTGGATGGTCAGTCTCTTCGGGGCCTCAGTGAGTTCCTTCGACGCCTTTGAGACCGGGGGTAATGTAGGGTTTAGGGTTTAGGGGGTTAAGGTAGGAACCTGATTAAGCATCCCTGGGCCTGTAACCTCAAAGAAGTAGGATTCATCTAAGGAACCCTTATAAAGGTCCAAGGCTTCTTCATCAGGCTCCATAATTGTATTAGGTTCTTAGAATTTTAGGATTGCTTAGTTGCTAGAATTCAGGTTGTAGGGCAGGGCTTGGAGTTTAGAGCTTAGGCGTTCAATGTGTTGTAGGTTTGGTTTAGAGAGTCGCGCTTCAAGTTCCGGTGATTGGTTTTTGCGGTATAGAAGATTTTGAGACTGCAAGGCGTTTACGGTCAGGGTTCAGGTCTCAACTTTCGTTTGCTCTCCCTGGCACTGTGGTAGCTCGAACTGCATGAGGTAGCTGCCGGTGATTGAGGACTACAGAAGCTGGTTTCGACACGTATTTAACTACTTAACTGCGTACAGTCATACTGTATCATACAGTACTTCGGCTTTCTTTGCAGGCAGACGCCCGATGCTTCTAGGTTCTAGGAGTTACGCGTTCTGGAGGGGCAAGGAAGCTGTAGTTATTTAAGGCCCCTGTTTACCAGCCACCCTATAGTAGAAGCCAGAAAGTTGGAATATCATTATCGTAACCCCATTGATCCATATTCCAACTTTCTGGAGTTCCTTTTAAGCCACCATGGTGCTGTCTAGCCGGCCTTTGAGTCTTAGGCCCGAAGGGCCGAACAAACCGAATGTGGCCTAGTGGTAGGAGAACCATGCAATTCCCTAAACCCTGACCCTAAACCCTAAACCGTGTCCTCGTAGTAGGGCGGTTTAGGGTGTAGGGTTCAAGGATAAAAATCGCTTATACAATATCCCGGAGTGAAGTAGCTCAGGCAGGTTTGCGGCACTTTGGTCGCGGTCGTCCCACAGCAGCCGGTCCTCTTCTCCGGGACGGCACTACTGAGAGTTGGCTTTAGGGCTCCGGGTGTGTGTGAGGTTCAGGTGTTGGGTTTAGCGTTCGGGATATCTACAGTTCCGGCATGAGCATTGATTCTTCGATAGCTCATGGCTAGATGTAGGAACGGAAATTTTCTGAAGGTGGCGATGTCGCATAACTATTCAGTCATCACTCATCGAACTTGCCGACGTATTGGCATAACGACATGCAGCTCATACCGCTGCGATGTCAACTGAGACTCCGCCACAGGTGCGAACCTCACTGTGCTTCTATCCGCCCTGAATCTACTGAGAACCTGCGACCAAGGGACAGAGACTTCGCCGTGTCATTGCAGCCTCAGCAAGCTTGCGAAATTCACCCACAGAAAGATACCCGAAAGAACCCCCGAAGCGCAATTCCATGAACCCCGCCTCCCCACAGCCGCTAAGCCGAATCCCTGAAGCCCTGGAGGGCTTAAACCCCTAGCCCAAAAGCGCAACTCCGCAAAGATAAGATGCCCTAAATTATGCCCTAAGGTTTAGAACCTACAATCCCAACACCCGAAGGCCATAAAAAACCCCGACAAACCCTTAGATCCCTTCTCGATTGTAGATCCCTTCATCGAATGCTTCTAAAGCCCCCCAAACATGCTGGAAACCCTGCACCTAAACTCCTTAAGCCCTAACAGAATGTGAAACGAAACCCCCAAAAACATCTACAATCCCATCAAACCCTCTAAACCCTAAACCCTAACCCTAAACCCTAAACCCTAAATCCTAAACCCTAACCCTAAACCCTTTTGGAAGAGGACCCTGCGATGGAACTTGGATCCGGCCCTGCAGTTCACGGACGCCCAGATCTGGGCGCCTCGGAGCCCAAAGGTCGGGGCTGTAAGAAAAAAGGGGCCTGAATAATTTCCTATAATAGGGTTCCTTTGAAGGCTCCGATAAGGCAGGGTACTAGAATATAGGGGCTGTAATAAGAAAGGGTCCTTAATAATTACGTAGAATGGGGTTCCTTCAAAAGGGTTCCTCTAAAAGGCTCCTATAAGGGTTACTGTAAGGGTACTAGAATATAGGGGGCTTAATAATGACCTATAGTAGGGTTCCTTTAAAAGGGTTCCTTCAAAAGGCTCCTATAGGGGTACTATAATATAGGGGGGGGCTTCAACACTATTTTGGTGGTTGCTTCTTTTTCCTACAGTATAGTGGGCCTCAAAAGCCTATCCTAATTACTGAGACCCCTATATTCGGAGTTGTAAAGGGTTTAGGATTGATTTTGCGATTTTGTCTACGGATTCTGTACAGGCAATAATGTAAACCCCCCCCCTCCCTGTCCCAAACCCTAGCAACTTTGGTTTTTTGGTTCAAAAGAGAAAAGCCTTAAACCCTGAACCCCAAACCCTAAACCCTAATTCCTAAACCCTAAACCCTATAAACCCTATAAGCTCTAAACCCTAAACCTTACAAAAAGCCCTTGGGGCCTCTGAGGATGCCATCAAGACTGTCGGGCTCCTCCGCAGCTGCAGTGGCACACTGGGATTGATGCTTGGGCTTCTGGTGCCCCAAAGACTCCCAAAGATCCCCCAGTTTCAGGAATATACCAAAGGGCGCCTTGAAGGGATCCTATAAGGGAGCTAAAGGGTTTAGGGTTTAGGGGACTACAATATCCCTTTAATTCAGGAATAGACCTTAAATCATATTAGGGAGCCTACAATTTAAGGTGTGTTCCTTAATCAAGGGATATTGGAGTCTCTGGGTTTGGGGGTCTGGGCTCAATTGTTGAAGGGTCTAAGGGTGGGGGGCTTAAGTTGAATTTCTGGCTCACAGACTTCCAAGGTTTAGAGTGCCGGGTTTACCTATAGTCTCCATTGTAGTTCCTTTGTTTGATTAACCAGTTTTATGGCTAGGATCCCATAATATAGTTTATGGTTAACCAAAAAAAGGAACTGCAATGGAGACTGTAGGTAGTGCTGCTTACTTGAGGAAGACCTTATGGCTTCTACGGGTTTACTCGGAATCCTTGGCTCACAGGGTTTACGCAGATCGTTGTAAATTCAGGCTAGAATCCATGTAGCCAGATGTTTGCTTGACAAAAGGCACACATGAGTAGAACACGCCTAGAGCCCTTATGCTGCCTTGCAGATACCTTAGTCGCAAGGGCCCTTCAGAAGCTCGAAGCGCCGACAAGCAAGGAAAGCCGATGTGCAGGGCTCTATGAGCGGCAGCCAGACGGGTTCAGGCCCGCAGTGAGCTTGGGGTGGTTTGCTTGCAGGGCTTAGGGTTTGAGGGGCTACGGGTTTAGGGTCTGTGGGGTTTAGTTCCGTTTAGAGGGTTTGGATTGCGGCTCAGGTTTTCAGACTTCGGTTTAAAGGGTGTAGGCTTGCGGGTTCATGGCTTGTGCTGCTCGTGCTGCAAAGCAGATCTTGTACCGATGGAGAGCGAGGTTGTGATAGCGTACGGTTGAGATTTCGAACGCTTACTACGGGCTGGGTCGCCCCCCCCCCCCCCCCAAAAAAAAAAAGAAGTAAAGGACCCCTAAACCCTAAACTGTTAAAGAATCCCTTCACATGGGGGCCTGGTAATGGCCGATACTATATTGGGGGTTCCTTACTATAAGTATAGTATAATCGGCCCTAAAACCCTATTCTATTCTAATCATAAAGGCCCCTATATTAAGGGCCCAAGCGATCGTCTTTTTGGGTCCCAGGTGCCTTGGCGTTGTCCCTTGGCCAGCGCCAGCTCCTCTGTGCGGCTCGAGCGCTGTTGCGTTCGCCAAAGGCACCTGGACTTCAGACATCAGGGTTTAGGGCTTGGTGTTTTTTTACAAAACGTTAAGATTTGTATCGAGACGATCATGAGCACCATTTAGATCATTGCAAGTATTCCTTCAGACAAAGAGCTCCTGCAAACTGATGTCAGCCTGAATGTCAGCAGCACAGTGCACGCAGAAGCATGAGCGTTGCTTCAGCCGAGCAGGTAAAGATGCCAGCAAGAAAGGTATCTTAGTTCTTAGTAGTAGGGGTACCCATTGGAAAGTCTTCAAAAGAGATGATGCCATCAGTCGGGATTCTATATTAGGGCCCCTGATTTCCTGAAACTGTCACCAGGTTTGAAGCTGTGCTTTTGGGCGGTCCCAGTCCGTCGCTGCCCGGTTTCGGGTTCTCTGCCTTTGCTTCCCAGAGACTCCAATATCCCTTGAAGGAATATACCTTAAATGCCTTATCAAATTACTGTCATGGTTTGAGGAATCTTCCTTGATTAACGAATATACGGCGCCCCGAAGCTAAGCCCAGGAAGCCCTAAACGATCCGGTGTGGGATGACCCGGAGACTCGAAAAACCCTCAATTAAGGAATACCTAGGGCTCCTTTAAAGGGATGCTATAAGGGATCTGAAGGGTTTAGGGGACTCCAATATCCCTTCATGAAGGAATAGTCCTTAAATCGTATTAGCGAGCCTACTGTAATGTAAGGTATACTATATGGATTCCTTAATGAAGGGATATTGGAGTCCTGGGGACCTGGTTCATGCTCCAGCTTTCCGACGTAAGCACGAGCTCGGCAGCCATAAGCGGAACTTGTTTCAAGAGCTCTGGCTCTGGGTGATTGTGGCAGAAAGGTCTTGGAAGAGCTCGCATGGATAATACCTCACCTAAACGCCAAACACTAAGCCGACAGCCGCAGCTTCAGGTGGCTTTGTTGGACGAGGTGCAGGGGGGCTGGGCTGTTTCTCTTCGTGTGAAAATCTAACGTTGAGGTTTAGGGTTTACGGGTTGGGAGGAGGAGGGTGTCGATGAAGATTGGTGACTGTTTTCTTGCCAGGTTGGTTTAGAAGCGTTACGAAGCCTCGCTACTTTGGGGCACCCAGCCGTCCGACCCTCCAGACACAATCCCTGACCTGCGAATGAGGGCTTCTCTGCATAGGCAAGACAAGCAGATGCAACGGAGGTAGCCCTTGAAGTTTTCTGCTTCCCAGCCAGAACAGCAAGGACCAAAGGGCAAATACTTCCAGAGGCCCCAAACCGAGCATCCAAAGACCACTTCAGCCAGAGGGCAGGAAAATATCCCCGACGACATTCGCTGGCTCACACAGCTCTATTTCAATAAAAAAAACATGTATCCGAAGACGGAGTCTTGCAGACCACTTCCCTTTCAAAAGCCTGCATTGGTGGGTCACATGTTAGTGAGGGTAGGTCCCACATCCTAAACCCTGGTGTTGGGGGCAAAGTTGCTTCCCCGACAAGGTGACCGCCGCTTTGCCAGGAGAGCTTGCTCTCAGCTACTCTCCTTTTGTTTCAGATGCAGCGACAAGCCATCACAACGAATAAACAAGGGCAAGGCTGGCTGTAGTGGTAGGGTAATGGTAGGATTAGGAGTAGTAGGGGAGAAGTTCTGGTGGTAGTCGTGGGCAGCGGCAGCGGCAGTGGTAGTGGTAGTGATAGTGGTAGTGGTGGTAGTCGTCGTCGTACTCGTATTCGTCGTCGTCGTCGTAGTCGTATTCGTCGTCGTAGTCGTCGTCGTAGTCGTAGTCGTAGTCGTAGTCGTAGTCCTAGTCCTAGTCGTAGTCGTAGTCGTAGTAGTAGTAGTAGTAGTAGTAGTAGCAGTAGCAGTAGTAGTAGTAGTAGTAGTAGTAGTAGTAGTAGTAGTAGTAGTAGTAGTAGTAGTAGTAGTAGTAGCTAGTAGTAGTAGTAGTAGTAGTAGTAGTAGTAGTAGTAGTAGTAGTAGTAGTAGTAGAAGTAGTAGAAGTCGTCGTCGTAGTAGCAGCAGCAGCAGTAGTAGCAACTGTTGCTGTTTTGTTGTTGTAGTTGCAGTTGTTCTTATTGTTGTTTTTGTTGTTGTTCTTGTGGGTCTTGGTTGCAATTGTTGCAGCTGCTTTCTGAAGGCGAAATCGAACTCATTAACATTGCTGTGTTCGTTGTGGTCGTGGTGCTGATAGTATCGGTGGCGTCGGTGGCGGGCACAGTCATCGTCATACCCGTCTGCGACCTTCGCAACTGTAATTAGTGTGCCAAGTTGTGCTGCGACAGACTCAAGTTCGGAGCTGTCGGCCAAAGGTCTCAGGGCCAAAAGGCTGAGGCTTGTTTGTGTAGCAGTGAAGAACCGCCAACCCTAATCAGATGTTTTGAGTTCAATCAGCTGTGTTGAGTTCAATGTCAACATCGCGGCTGTTTGGCCAGGGGGGGTGGGGAGTTGCGTATTTCATGAATGGTGAACCAGCTCTTGAGCGGCTCCTCCTGGATTCCGAGCCCAGGTACCGTCACACATTTGGTCAAGAAGTTCCGGGACATCAACGCCACCACACTCTTGGTCTCCCGGCTGTTGCGGCGAGCAGCTCTCACAGCTGGGCAAACTCAACAGCCAAACCCTGCCGTTGCAAGTATCATTGTCTTCAGACTTCCAGCAAGTGAACCTGATGTAGGCACTAATTACTCCCGACCAATGTAAGCTCAGGTCACTCACCAGGACGACTTGGTGTCCGTCTGTGACCGCACAGTTCGCCTCTCACATGGCAGCGTCGTAAGCGATACCATTGCGTTTTGAAGTTGGATCGCTAACATGAGCTTTCTAGGGGTTCTTAAAGTTAGTGAACCTTCCTTGGGGTTATATTCAGGCAGGATCCTATCTATATTCAGGACCCCTGCCTTCTGAGACTGTCAGATGACTGGCCTGAGCTCCCAAACCACAACCCCTGAACCCTTAAACATTCAGCCCTTGAAACCCAGGCTAAACCCTAAATCCCCAAACCACTACGCCGGCATCTTCCAAGATGTCCGAAAGCTCCAAGAGATCTTAGTCGCTCAGCCACATGCTTCCAGTGTCGATCCACCCTAAACCCAAAACAGGGTTTGGGGGTAAGGTCTTACGGTTTCGGGCTTCGCGGCTTTCAGGGTTTAGGGTTTAGGTTTTAGGGATTCAGACACAAGAGAAAACAGCACCACAACTGCTGATGCATGCAATTACCTAGCTGTTGATTGATAGCTTAAGTCCTGTAAGCGAAAACGTTAGCATAAATGAAGCTGGAGGGACATAGTTGAACTTCGCTTGCTTGTGCGATGTATCCGTGGCGCCGGTGTGGGGCTTATGTAACTCAGTACTAGGATGGATAAAAGTGAACTGCAATTGTTGAGAAGTTGAGGTACGGAGAATCCAGGGATTACTTTGTAGGCTGAAGAGGTTTATGCTTTCTCATGCCATAGATGCGGCAGGTTCTGCATTGTGCCAGTGCCCTTAACGAAAAATCCAGTGGCAGCACTGCGAGCAGTGGTAGTAGAAACTCTGGTCCTGAGTCACTGCACGAGGAGATCAGGGTTTAAAGTTTAGGGTCCGGGGGTTTAGGGTTTTAGGGTTCAGGGTCTTAGGGTTTTAGGGTTTAGGGTTTAGGGTTTAGGGAGGAAGAAGCAGTTGTAAAGACTAGTTCTGAACGGGCACGGCCCTCGAGCCCCGCAACTTGGGGCAAAAGCCTGCCCACAACATCTCCATATTTAGCCTCGCGGCGCATCCTGGGAAGTCTCAACCCGATGGGATTCTGAGCTCCAAGACCCGAAACCCAAGCCCTCAAGAACTCAAAGCTTTAAATCTCAAAGCCCCCAGGTTTAGATCTCAAAGGCGGGGTTATTACCCTAAACCCTAAACCCTAAACCGAGGCAGCCTGCTTAATTCGGCGGGGGGGGGGGTGCCTTTCTGTCAAGAACCCTTTGTCGATGCTTGCGCAGTCGATGAACCATATCCCAATAAAGACTCCAATATCCCTTAATTAAGGAATAATCCGTAAAGCATATCAAGGAGCCTACTATAATTTAAGGTATGTTCCTGAATTATTGGATATTGGAGTCCCTGGGATCGCCGCAGCCCGAAGAGGAGTAACAATGTATTGTATGGATGCAAATATGATATCAGACAACGTAGAATAGGACGCCTGTTATGCTATAACACAGATGCAATGCCTGATGTTGAGAGATCCCAGATGCCCTGCCTCGTGTCGAACTGCCACTGCCTGAAAAGATGCATTGTGCACGCAGCATTCTTTGAGGTTCATGGCTTGCTTCGGAGAATTTCCATGACCGGTTTTTGACAATGCTCCTAGGGAATGTTCATGACAAACTTCGGTCGTCCAGTGCATTGCAGGTACTGTAGAAGCCTGAACCGTTAGTACTATTCCTTAGGGCCTTAGGCCTTCTTAGTATGTTTATTCACAGTCTAGCAGGAAACCCGATTGAAAGGATTAATGCACCTATATCGCTCAAAATTCTGTATGCAGGGAAACGGATCGATTGCGGACCCCGTCGCCGACCCGCCCTGTTCAAGCAAAGCGCAAGTTGAAGAGAATCCACACCTCGTGTCAGATGGCGGGAGCCGTCAGATTTGATCTGATCGTCATGGAATCTTAAACCCTGGCCCTAAACCCTAAACCGTCACCGTCTGTATGGAGGTTTCTGGCGTTTACCTAGCCTGGGAAGCGACAGGTCAGCTTCGCAGGCTTTTGTAAACTAGCTAACAGCATCTAGTGCGCCTGGGAAATCATGTGGGAGTTTCCGAAAATGGGGGTACCTTATTTTGGGGTCCTTATATATAAAAGGGATCTTACTATTTAGGGTACTATAATAGGGTGCCCTATTTTCGGAAACCCGCATGTGAGACATCTCTTTGACTTCGGCACTTCTCAGGTTGCGGGAGGTTATAAAAAATGGTCATAAATCTTTCGAGAAGTTGCAGCCAAGCAGTTTCGGTCGTAAGAAAACGGCGAGCACTGGCGCTTAGGATTAACCGCTCGATTGTTACCAGTATCCACGCTATGAATTTAGACCAACTAAATGCAAAAAACAAGTTACACAAGCAAGTTTGGACAAGTATGTCATACTCATGTGTGTGCTCGCATACATTGAGGGAGGGAAGGATGGAGCTTGCTAGCTGCTAGCTGCCTGCAAGGTGGTAGGTGGGCAGGTTAGGTAGGCATACAGGTAGGTAGGCCAGGTAGGCATGTGCGCATGTAAAGATGGGTACTCGTCATGTCTTGCTTGTCTCGCCCAGCGAGGGGAGAGGTTCTACATGTTGGAAGCCAGCTGCTCCCCAACGCAGGGGGAACGTGTCTGGGGAGCTCTTCCAGTTCAATCCACCGAGCTACACCATCGTCGATGCATCGCTCTCAGATTGTTTGGGTTAGTTTCCCATGGCAACCCAGGACCGTCATCAGCGAGACACACGAACCGGCAAGCAATTCTTCACAGTGGGCCCCACCTTTCCTCAAGTTTCCCCTTAACTCTATCGCAATCTTCCTTACTAGTTTGCAGCAGCGCCATTTCATTCACAGCCTGGTCAACCACATCGGAAAAGACTGTCTGGTTCGTCTTAATGGGGAACGGGGGAATGGATTATGGAGACTATTCTTATTGGGGATTATTTAGGGACTACGGCTGATGATAAAAATCCTGCATTACTCATAATAAGGAATATGCCATAGTTCCCATAGTTTAGGGTCCTTAAGGTATTGCAGGATTTATATCATCGACCGTACTATAGGGATCCATTCCCATTCCCTACTAGGCACCAGGCGGAGACGACTTTCGTGAGAGACTTGACCATGGCCTTCTGCGACGAGGGTTCCAAGATCTCGCAAGCAGGGTTTAGGTCTCGGAGACGCCAATATCCCTGAATTAAATTAAGAAATATTTTATTGCCTTAAATTATAGTAAGATCCCCAATATGATCTAAGGAATAATTATACCGTGAACTATAGTAAGATAGATCCCTAGTATGATTTACGGAATATTCCTTAACTAAGGGATCTTGGAGTTTCTGGGGTCGTTGTGCAGCCTCAGAAGCGCGCGGCGCAGGAGCTAACGATACCTAACCGGAAGAACAACAGATTGGAAAGAAGCCTTAGGATGCTTCGGAGGCTTAGAACAACAATGGGCAGACTGGCTTTGGCAAAGCGAACATGTGTTTCTTGGTCCGTAGTCTCAGCATTGTAGGGTCCTTAAGGGGGTGGTTCAAGGGGGGAGGGTACTAGGGAGCTTTGGGGAACCTTAGGGAAGCTTAGGGAGTATTGGGGAATAATGGGGATTACTATGTTACCTACCCCCCTTGGACCACCCCCCCTTAAGGACATGCTCACAGCAGTTTTCGACCCGAGACCCGAACCGAGAGGTGAGTTTTGCGCTTCTGCAGCAGTCAAGGTCTCATTGCACGAAACTCTCGAAAAACCTTGCCTTAAACCCTTAAACCCTAAAAAGACCTAAACCCTAAACTCCTAAACCCTACACCGTTTTCTACCGTGAGTAATGAGTTGTTCTACGCTGCTTCGGTGGGTCGAATCGGCGCAGAGCCAACGATCCCAACGCCCCAAATCCCCAACCGAATTACTACAGATATGATGGGTCTTGAAGATGAGTTAAGTAGCATTATCATTGCCACTGGTATTATCATTCGTATGACTACGAAGATCATCATGATTAGGATTCTTATTCTTGGTCTTATCATGATGACTACCATTGTTCTAAGTCTTTTTATGCATAACTTTATATCAAACCAGCAGCCTAGCCAAGGCCCCGCCTGGTAGCCCATGGTCCGGTGGCCGTGAGGCCAGCAAAGTCCTAGCGCTCGATGGCATCGTGGTTTAGGGTACTGCTTAGGGTTTTGGCCACATGAATACCAATATTAGTCCTTTGGGCTTTCTTATTTGAGTATAGCAGAATATACGCCAAAACCCCTAGTCTAATCAGTAAGGCCGTACATTAGACTAAGATCTCGAACCAACCCCTCAAGCGGACAAGGGCTGAATTTCGAAGCTTGGGTAATTAGTAATGCTGCTCAGTATAGGTTAGGGTTCGCGTGCCAAGCTGTCGATTCAACAGTGGTCCGCCCCCTAAGCCCGAAACAAGAAGCCCACCCAACCAGGCTGCTGCGGCTTCTGCATCGACAGCAGACCAAGCTGCAAACGCCCCAGCCATTCGGAGAAGTCGCTTCTCAGAGTTCGCATTCTGGCTTTCCGGAAGGTTCTTTATTTTGGAGCAGGGAGCTTGAGGCGTTTCGGGGCTTACAATGGCCTGGACTGCTCAAAGTTGTTCGTCAGCATTGCTTGTTCGTCCGGCTGTGAGAGCGCACGGTCAAGTGCCCTAGCGGACCGCCACGATTCTCTTCAGGGAGCAAAACAGCGGAGGTTTGGCATTCTATTGCATGCTCAGTCGGGGCAGTCGGCACTTCCCAGACACCCGGGAGGATCTAGAAAGTCGATCCCCTAATTTGGGGCCCTAAACTACTGAGGGTACTTTACAGGAACCCCCATTAACGGATCTACTTTTTGGAGGTCTGGGTACAAGTATCTACATGACGATACTCAAACCGCCAAATCCCTAAACGTCCTCCTCAGGCGCGGCCACAGAGTGCTGGGGAGGTTGGCGAGATGCACGCGGAAGGATCCCAGGCACCCGACTTTTGGGGGTAAGAGGGCTCCTTGAAGGAGCACATAATCGAAATAACTCATATAAGCCCCCTTGTACTGGAGCCCAATAAGAAGGTGCAACACCCCTGCAAGACGTTCATGTAAGTGTTTTTTTGGGGGGGCCTGTCTAAGAGTGTCGTTCAAGGGCTTTGCATCTATGAGTTTGGAGGCTTGAGGCCGCTGGGGGCTCGGGGGTTAGATGTTTGGGGTTTAGGGGTTTGCGAAACGGGAGATTGCGAAAAATAGGGGTACCTTGTTTTGGGGTCCTTATAATAAGGATGCTATTGTTTAGGGTCCTATATTGGGGTCCCCCATTTTCGGAAACTCCCAAACCTAAGCGCGAACCGTTTGGCTCTAAGTGCCTGGCAGTGTTTTTTTTTGGGTGGCGGGGCTTCGGAAGCCGAAGACCCTGGGGTTTATGTTTGGGCTATTGCGAGCTTGAGCGCAAGCCCGACCGGGTCATGTCATTGCACAAGTCGTTCGTTTCACAACAAGGTTGCTCTAAACCCTAAAGCCTCAGGTGGGAGTTTCCAAAAATTAGGGGGTACCTCAGTTTGGGGTCCTTACAATAAGGATCCCACTATTTAGGGTACTATATTGGGGTCCCCTTTGTTCGGAAACCCTCAGGTTCTTTCAGATGGGGCCAGGTTTCATGAACAAGCCCGTTCCTGAATCACCAAGGGAAAGCGCTTAATTTCCCATCTCCCTCTCCTAAACCCCAAACACCCCTGAAACCCGAAACCCAATACCCTAACCCCAGTGCCCCGTCATCCTTATCTTTCTGCAATCCCCGGTTTACCGCTTGGGCTGGACTTCGGGCGGGGGTTTTAGGGCTTGGCAGTTCTGATCTTTGAATCTTCATGGGCCATGTGGTGTTTATGCTATCCTTTATAATATATGTAGTAGTACATGAACTAAAATATTTTCGATGATGTTTATATCAAATAGTACATGAACTACATTATTATCGATGTTATGGTGTTGTGCTACACTGCTATACTATGTTAGGCTTTTTGGCCTGGGGATCAACTCAAGAGCACCAGCAGCTTCGCCTGACGAAGCTTCGCACCCAGGATGCTTCTGACAAAAGGAGCCTAAACAAATGCCAGTTAGGGTACTATATTAAGGACCCTATTTTCGGAAACTCCCATATAGGGGCCTGAATACTGTAATTGACACTGATACTATTTGGGGGGGGGGGTCCCTCATTATGTTTACAGTATAATATAGCCCGAAACCCTATTCTAACTACTAAGGCCCTTACATTATGAGGCAGCTGATGCTGGGAAGCACAAGCACAGCAGCCTCCACAGAGCCGCGGTTTGGGATGTCCGAAGACCCTTAACTTTGCGGTTGAGGGTTCAGGGAAGCCCTACAAACCCTTGTAGGAAGCCTTATAGGAACCCTAACCCTAGAACCCTAGAGCGCCAATAGGACCCAAAGCCCCGAAACCCAAGACGCAAACATCTGCAGCGCCTAGGCTCAGACCAAGGCAGCTACGTCTTTTCCCAAATTCACCGAAGGTCTCTCGAAAGCGGCTCATGTTCGCCCGTGGCCGCGTCTGAAGGCGTGGTTGAGCCTCTAAGGCATCATGCCTTCTGCTTGGAACCCTTTTCTGTACATCAAGACTGCTTTCGCACCTTGACAGCCCTAGCTCTTTATAGCTACGGTTTGGGGTTTAGGGGTTTAGGGTTAGGATGTAGGGTTTATCTCGGAGAGCTAAAGCTTGCACAGAGGTTTCAGCCGTGATCCGGAACCCGAGCTCTGCCTCTAGCCCGTAGTTCTGCTGGGCCCTACACCCCCTCGCAGGGGTTTAGGGTGTGGGGTTTAGGGTTTAGCCATCTCCTGCTCCTTTGAAGAAGGGTTTGGGGTTTCGGGCTTAGGGTTTAGGGTTTAGGGGTTTAGGGTTTGGGGTTTAGGGCTTCGAAACTCCACAGCACGAAGCCGCAAATCGTCACCCCACCACAACTACCAACCCGGAGCCACACGATCAAATCCCGACACTAATCCAAACGGAAACAGCTCATTTCAAATCCCCGAACCCTAAACCCCTAAACCCTAAACCCTAAAACCCCAAACCCTAAACCTTAACCCCTTCAGCCCTGAAAGCCCGAAGCCTACCCCTCGAGCGTAGGGCTTCGACAATTGGAAACCTCGAACCAGGAATCCCAGAGACTCCAATATCCCCTAATTTAGGAATAAGTATACTTAAATTATAGTAAGATCCCTAATATGATTTAAGGTATATTCCTTAATTAAGGGATATTGGAGTCTATCGGACCGAGCCTGCAACCACAGATGCCACAACCCGTGGTGTTCAGGGTTCAGAAAACCCTTCCTTGCGCCCTTGCAGCTATATACCCTCTTCCAGGAACCTTCTGAGGTATCCCACACCCTACTTGGAGGTTAATGGGTAGTTATAAGTGGGGTTATAATTGAGGAAACTATAGTTATAAGCCCGGTTACGGGACTTATAACCGAATTTATGACTACCCATGAACCTCCAAGTAAGCCATGGTTTTGAAGCTTGCTTTCGAGACTACGGCACTTGAAACCCCGGTTTAGGGTTTAGGATCCAGAAGCTGCGTTTTTTTGGGGGGGGTTCTGGATGATACTGTGCTGCCCAAGCATCCAAGCTGCCGGATTGTGGGCCTTGCTGCCATAGATTTTGAAGAGTTGCGGTTAGGGGGTGAGGCGGGGGCAGGGTGGGCGGTGGGTTTTCCAAGGCTCTGATTTGGTTTAATTAGCTTTTCCCCACTTGAGTTAGCTGCGACAGCCGAGGCCACTATTGAAGATGTGAAGTTCGTCCCAGGACGGGACCTTGAAGAATGGAGGGATTCCGATGTGGGTAGTTTCCTAAATCGTCCCCAGAATAGTGCGGCTCTCTTATTAAATGGACCCCAAAAGGGACCCGAATTTAGGGAATTACACATGTAGTATTACTATAGCATGTTCCATCATATTCCATGCTCGTCTAGGCTCTGCTCGGATCCATTTTCATGAAGCGACTAGGTGCTCTGCTGCTATGCGCTTAATATAGGGTCCTAAATAGTTACCAATATTGATTTGCGGGTTGCTGACTAGACGGCTGCTAATACCATTATCATCATCGTTTTGCAACATGGGCTTCTGAGTACTCGTCCGATGGCTTGCTGTTCATCCTTATCGGCAGGAGTTGTTACAACCGATGTTGCAGATGCCTGGGCATCGGACGTCTGAATAATCTAGAGTGCAATTAGTCAGATGCCGTCAGGATCTACGTTCAACAAGCCATTCCATACTGTAGGCTCCTCGATAGTTTAGTGACGGATGTCGCTGGCTCGTTTTTGAGAGCGTGTTCTCTTGGGGTTGATCGGGCAAGTTTTAGCTGATGTGCCTGAGATATCCTCAAAGACCCTAAAGTTAATTGACTTAGTGGCTGACTGAGTATACTTTACACGTTTTGGGACAATGATGCCCCCTGTGCGACTGAAAGATTAAGCTTTTTGAAGGGGTTATCAACCTGGCCCCCAAACTCCAAACTCTGAACCCTAAGTTCAGGAGCCAAGACTCCCGAGAAGCCTACCTTTATAGAGCGCTTCATGTTCTGGCGCGCCTGTGCACTCCGCGTAGCATGGCCGGTTTAATATAGCTCTTTCGAGGTGTTTGGTACCCACAGGCCGAAAGAGCCCAATACGCCTTGATTCAGGAAGATTTCTCAAACCTCCGGGCTACATAGGGGCGCCTGAATAACTACCTATACTATTGTGGTGCGTCCTTATTATTAATATGCTCTATGGCTGGTTTAGGTCTCGGGGCTTGGGATCCAGTCGAAGGTTCATCGAGTGTAGCATAGAAGCCTAAGAAAAGTTGTCGATACTGTTCTTCAGGGTCCCCCATATTGTTGTTGATTACTGTCTGTCTTGATGGCTCCTAACTAAATACTATTAAGACCATCATCATCGTCGTCATGGCGCCGCTATTGATGGCATTAACATGGCTTCGACTGGTTTAGTATCTGGGAACGCCTAAATATGCGTAGACACGCACGCACACACACACACACACACACACACACACACTCAGAAGCACACCTGCATACGCTCATCTCAACTCCATCTGATGGTCAGCAAAAAATGTACATGCACATGTGTGTGTGTGTGTGTGTGTGTGTGTGTGTGTGTGTGTGCGCGTGCATGTGTATTGTTTACATCCATATAGATAGGTCGATCGCCACATAGATAGGCAGGCAGATGTATGTTGACAGGTATCTAATATGGTTAAGGAACATATGGATAGATATATACAAAGGTGCAGATAGATATAGGTGGACATAGATACAGATGTAGACGTAGGTTTAGGTGTAGACGCCCATATATTTATATACACATACATATACATATATATATATATATGTGTATACACGTATATGTTTAAATACATTTGTATACATGTATATGAATGCATGTGGATACAGGTACAATTGCTAGATCTAGGTCTAGGTACCGACATATGTATGCATGTGTGTATATATGGTTATTTACTTATCTATTTACATGTAGGTTTATTATATGCTTAAGTACACAATCTGGCGGCTGCTAAACACTGAGAAGCCGAAGCCACGAGCATCCGAGCACTCTGTCTGATCAAGCTTTGTGAGGTTGGGGATCGGGGGTTTAGAATTTCGGGGTTACGGGTGTAGGGGTTATTTAGGGTTTAGGGGTATTAGGGTTTAGGGTTAAGGGCTAAGGGCGCGCAGCCTCCAAAATTACGAAATTCAGGGATTGAGTCGTGTAGCCGGCCCCAGCAACACCAGTGTCAAGTCGCTGCCCTAAGATCTCAAACCTCAACATGCAATAAGGTTGGCTGCTGGACTGCCATCCTTTTCGTGATTCTGAGCCTGAACGAATTCCAGATGGCCGCGACCTCATCGTCAGGAAGAATCGCAGTGCCCGTAGTCCTGAGAAATAGTCAGTGGTAACGCTCTCCATCAGCCGAGGAAAGCCAAGACTTCGTGAGGGGATCTAGTATAGAACCCAAGTAGTTCCCACTATTAGTCTTTCATGTTCTTCATTATAGTATGATACGCCCCCAACACGATTCTAATTGTGAAGGGCTATATTATGGAACGTCATGTCAGACAGGTCCCAACTATGTATCGTCGGGTGCTTTTACACCTCCACATCGTACGAACATGAAGATGCCAGACCTTTCCATGTCGTCATCGCACACGGTCATCCGCCAAGGCTCGTTGAATAGTCTCTTCGTGGTGGAAGACATGGAGTCCGCCGTGGACATGCCAGACAAGCTACCTAAACCCTTGAAGTAACCTGGGGCAATACTCTTGAGCTGTGCTTTGGACCGTATCCAAGTCGCAATAACTAAGACGTTCTTGTAACTCTAGCTATTCAGGCCCCCATCGTAACACTAGCAAACACGCTTAGGGCCTCGGTACACCGAATGCCCCGGTCTCCTGTCCAAGCTCAGATAGCCAAGGCCTGGAGAAATGTGAGGAACAAGCTGGAGGCATTTCCTGAGATGATTCGGCCCTATTTCTCGTCCCGGGCCCGCAGACTGAGGGGGGGATTTCTGTGTGAAGCAGGCATGGACAGTGGCTTCGGTAGTCCCTTAAGTAAGGAGTGCACAGTGGTTTGCTTCGGAGACTCTTGGTTGAGGTTGGCGGCACAGATATCGGGGGGAGTTCTGCTTTTGAGCCCCAATCGGTTGATTCAAAGCACCTAGGGAGCCGTATAGGAGAGCAACCATGTCGTGAGGCTTCAGTCCGCTGCCCTCCCCCAAGCCCTCATGGGGCATTAACTTGCACACGGGTTCACCTCGATGCTCACACCAGAAGTTCGGCGAGTGCCTTGGATAAGCCACTTGGGGGCTATAAGCACTCTCCTTGCTCCTCAACCTTTTCGGGCACGGAACCTGGTTCGCCATCTTCTTCACGCTCAAGAAGCGCCCTCAGCTGAAATCTTCCTGCCATCGCAACACTGCAGCGCATCCATGACTTTCTCCGATGGCCGCCTTCCGCTCTCAACTTTCATGGAGTTTTGTCTCAAACTTGTCGCTTTGTAGCTTCACGTTGTGTCCTCACCCTAGGCTCTACAGAAAGTTTTCGGGCTCTTCAACCCTAAACCCCTAAACCCCTAAACCCTAACCCCTAAACCCTAAACTTATGCACCCCTCGAAGACCTTTGGGTTTTTTTTTGAAAAGGAGCTCAAAAAAAACAAAAATTATGCCCCCAAGGCGTTTCATCTACGCGGAGCTCTCTGCCCAGACGGCATCCGAAATGGCTTCTGCCCCTAGGACTGAGCTTAACTGTCCTAGGGTTCCTTTTAAAGGGATCTATAAGGATACCTTTAAGGGGCTCCTTTAAGGGATCTATAGGGTTTTAGGGTTTAGGGGTGATGATAAAAATCCTGCATTACCTTAAGGACCCTAAACTATGGGAAATATGGTATATTCCTTATTAAGGGTAATGCGGGGTTTATATCATCAACCGAAGGATCCGGTTCCTTTATGCGCACTATGCAGGGTGCTGTACGGGCTACTGTACGGGTGCTACAAGGCCTATAAGGGAGGCTCCGGAATGCCTTTTCGCGAGAAAAGACCCTGGCAGAGCAAGTCTCGCCTATACTCGTATACCCATAGTTGTCGAA